TTTCGATTTACTTAAATTCAAAATATACACAGACTCAAACTAACAGATGTAAATTGATTTGTTTGGATTGAATTTTGAAAGAAAAAAATCCTAACCAAATTAACAATTATATTAATTTAATTTAAAGAAAAGTTTTTCTAAAAAATATTTATGTATATAAGTTTGGGCCCCAACGAAATATCTAAAAAATGATGTGGGTATATAATAAATAACAGTAAAAGAAAGAGTCTCCACACGGTTAGAGAATTTGCATGAACGTCCTTAGTTTGCTAGAATGAGCAAGGCTTGACGTTGCAAATAGCGAAATATTTGGCAACAGAATTCACGTTGAAACATGTGCACGTGAAGCATCCACCTCTCTAGCTCTGAATATATGCGTATCATAATAATAAGACCTTACTTTATATTAATGGCAAAAATAATTCATCACCCAACTATACTTCTAATGCTTACATAACCAAATAATACATATATAGAGCGAGAGAGCGCATTTATGTCTATATGACATTCAAGTTTTAAAACAATAATGTAAACAATTTATTTAAGCAACTATCCGTTGTATAGTTCGATTTTTGAAAAAAATAATCTAACATCCTAAAACCATGTTAAAATATAAGTTAACATAAATTTAAGAAAATGTTGGCTATTTAACTTTGCGGTCAGAAATGGATGAGTCAAATTAATAATATTAAATTCAAATAATGTTTACATTATTTATATACTAAAAATGGAGTAAGGTACTATGCAAAGGATTAAAACTATTTAAATTATAATAAAAATCACATAAAAAAGAGTTAAGAGTGTGTTACGTAAAAAGAAGAAAGACACAGAGAAATTAGAAAGCAGAAAAGCACTGTAGCGAACTGGCAACGTATTGTTTCAGAACTGAAAGTGAAAATGATAAAAGTACATAAAGGAATGATCATATTCATAAATGCTGCAACAAGACACATAAATGTTGTACTTTTTTTATTTACCTGTTTGGTAGAAGGAGGAAAATAATGTCTAGGTAACATAGAATAACTAACAATGGGTATATAATAACTTTAGAAAATAAAAAAAATAAATTAAAAAAAAAGTGAAAAGTTGAGTTGAGCAATTAACACCAAGCAGAAGCCACGGTCAGGGTTCTTCCCATCCACCCAAAGCAAATCCCACCCTTTTCTACTTTTACTGTCACCCGGTTCTCACCACCGAGTCGTTCTTTGATTGACTCAGCGACTCTCTGACTCAGTGGTTTCAACCTGAAACCAGCCATGTCCATGCGCGCGCGCCACTTTCCAAACACTTCGCACCTTTCCACGCGCTCCCTTCCTTCGCATGCCACTGTGTTCGCTATCTTCCGCCTCAGTCCCTCCTCCATTTTTATTCGCCACGAGTTTTCCCGTGTCATCGTAGTCTCAAGCGAGTCAAACAGCGCGCCGTAATACGCGCACGACTCGGCCACGCGAGCCACGAAGGGCGCTGTATTGGTGTTTGATTCCTGCTCCACCAGCGTCACCACTCGCGGCGCGAGTGCCTTCACGCGCCGCAAAAGTTCGTCGCGCGGGTTCTCCGTGGAGACACTCTCGTCGGGCATTTTGTAAAGTCTGAATGCGAAGTTCACCGCCAGCGCCTCATCCGCTTCGCAACCCAAAGACTCGCGAGTTAACTCGGCGATTCTCTGAGTCAGCACTTTGAATTCGAAACCAATCCCGAGTTGCTCTGCGAGTCTTCCGAGCATCACGCCCGCAGAACTCATCCTCTCGTCAGCGCTGTTCTCCGTAACGGCGATGATCTTGACGACGGCCGGATAGCCCTTTCGCCGCAAAGAGAGCTCGTGGAGAAGGCTGGCGTATTGTTTCCCGTTCCCGATGTCGAAATCCACCACGCATAGTTTGGGGTTCTGTGTTTTATCGTCGAATGCAGATTCGAGGATTGCGATGTTGGCTACCATGAGCGCGACCCTAAAGAAGAGCGAGTGTTCAAATAGCAACTGAGTGGACTCGGCGTGTTCCCTGCCGAACAATTCCTCAACAGGTGGTGGATACTCAGCGTGACTCATTCGCGACTTGAGCGCGGAAACCATGCAATTTACGAAGGGTCGATCCGAATTCTGCGAGAATCGGGTAAGGATCTGCGTGGCGACCTCGAATCTCTCTTCTGAAATCGCTTTCGCGACCTCCGTCAGGGACTGTATGACATTGATGGATTCTACGGAGGAGTTGGACGACGTGGTAGTGGTAGAGGAAGATGGTGATGACGAGGCACGTTTGGGCGGAGTGATTAAGTTCTGTATTGTGTGTGACCATTCAGAGGTGGTAACGACTGAAACGGCGTCGCTTTGGTCATCATCATTGTCTTCTAGAAGTTCTTTTTCCAACTCCTGGAGTCGGTGGTCTATGAAGTTCTTCTCTGATTCAAGGGTCGCGGTTAGCCTGTTTTGAACTGGAGAGAAATTTGTGTGAGACAGGATCGAACTCGTGACAGGTTGTGGGTTAAGAGCGTTAGGGCGAATGTGATGGAGAAGAGAGGCGCCGTAACGGTGTGACGGTAAGGCAGCTAATTCAGGAGAGAACGTGGGGAATTGGTTGTGTTGAAAAGTTCTGGGCTTTACGGAACGAAATTGATAGTTGGTAAGGAGTTGGTTATTGTTGTTGCTAACAAGAAGGTTGTTGCTGATGGTGTTAGTGAGGTTGTGGGTCTGGAATTCTGCGAGGGTGCGTTTCCCGATGAGAGAGGATGTTTGGTGTTTGGGTATGTTGGAGGAGGGATGAAGCATAATTGAAGGTTGGGATCGGTAGAGAGGGTGGTGAGTTGTGGCGGAGTGGTTGTCGATGGTGGGTGTAACTGCCATGGATTGAGTAGGGAATCCGGTTGCTCCGCCGTAGAAATCGGAGGGTCCAGCAGCAGGGAACCCCGGCGGCGACATCCCAGGTTTTGTGGCGAAGAAATTAAGGAAGGGATTAAAAAGTTAGGATTTTGGAGGAAGGCATGGGAGAGAGATGAAGTTGAATTGAAATGTTTGAATGATTCTGGTGAATATAACGACAGAGGGGTTTTAAATTTGATCAAGAAAGCGAGTGAAGGCTTTTTTTTTTTTTTTTTTTTTTTTNAATCAACCTAATATTCGGATAGAATATTTAAAGATTAATCTCTCAATATCATGATACTTTATATTTAGCTTCAAGAGTTTTTAAGGAGAATAAGTCTGACCTTAAAACGAGACTTGAATGTTTTGTTTTGAGATTGCTTAAACTTTGAAGTGATAACTATTGATTATGGATTTTTTTAATTATAATAATAATTTTTAATAATTTTCATCTTATTTAAATAATTTCGTTTTTTTTTTACTTTAATGTTGTTCTTTTTCGTGTTTTTGTATAAAATCTCTTACTTAGTTTCATTCATAGTATCTAAAGAAAACTTTGGAGGGAAGGGTGCTTTAAGTTGAAAAGGTTGTGACTTTATTGCGGTATTCATTGTTCCTTCTTCGGCTTTGACGAAGATGGACTTCTCTTCTGCTTTTGGGTGACATGTTGCTCCTTATCAATTCAAACATCAAATCCAATATTCCACCTTTTATTCTTCCCTCGCCATTTGCTTCTACTCTTTTTACTTTTAATTTAATTCTAATTTATGCTTTTATTTATTTCACATGCTGTTAAATAATTTAATTAATTATAAACAAATGTAAAATCAAATAGTGAGAAAATTTCAGATAAAATGCTTCAATTAACGTATTATCCTCGTGCAACATGTTAAAAAAAATTGGATTTTAATAAGATTTTCAATATATCTCCCTCTCTCATGTCAAGGTATAGATATAGTCCGTGAGACATTAATAAAAAATCACATGTCCAACAAACAACAAAATTGACTTATAAAATGAGTTTTGCACTCATTTATATATTATAAACACAAATTTAACTTTTTTTTTTCATAAATATTTGCTTTCTTTTCATTTTTAGCTCATTGTTCACTATTTAACTCGTGATTAGTATGACTTGATGACAATAAATCCATGGCACAATGGAACTATTTTATTTATGTATTGGAAAGTATTATTTCGATTTACTTAAATTCAAAATATACACAGACTCAAACTAACAGATGTAAATTGATTTGTTTGGATTGAATTTTGAAAGAAAAAAATCCTAACCAAATTAACAATTATATTAATTTAATTTAAAGAAAAGTTTTTCTAAAAAATATTTATGTATATAAGTTTGGGCCCCAACGAAATATCTAAAAAATGATGTGGGTATATAATAAATAACAGTAAAAGAAAGAGTCTCCACACGGTTAGAGAATTTGCATGAACGTCCTTAGTTTGCTAGAATGAGCAAGGCTTGACGTTGCAAATAGCGAAATATTTGGCAACAGAATTCACGTTGAAACATGTGCACGTGAAGCATCCACCTCTCTAGCTCTGAATATATGCGTATCATAATAATAAGACCTTACTTTATATTAATGGCAAAAATAATTCATCACCCAACTATACTTCTAATGCTTACATAACCAAATAATACATATATAGAGCGAGAGAGCGCATTTATGTCTATATGACATTCAAGTTTTAAAACAATAATGTAAACAATTTATTTAAGCAACTATCCGTTGTATAGTTCGATTTTTGAAAAAAATAATCTAACATCCTAAAACCATGTTAAAATATAAGTTAACATAAATTTAAGAAAATGTTGGCTATTTAACTTTGCGGTCAGAAATGGATGAGTCAAATTAATAATATTAAATTCAAATAATGTTTACATTATTTATATACTAAAAATGGAGTAAGGTACTATGCAAAGGATTAAAACTATTTAAATTATAATAAAAATCACATAAAAAAGAGTTAAGAGTGTGTTACGTAAAAAGAAGAAAGACACAGAGAAATTAGAAAGCAGAAAAGCACTGTAGCGAACTGGCAACGTATTGTTTCAGAACTGAAAGTGAAAATGATAAAAGTACATAAAGGAATGATCATATTCATAAATGCTGCAACAAGACACATAAATGTTGTACTTTTTTTATTTACCTGTTTGGTAGAAGGAGGAAAATAATGTCTAGGTAACATAGAATAACTAACAATGGGTATATAATAACTTTAGAAAATAAAAAAAATAAATTAAAAAAAAAGTGAAAAGTTGAGTTGAGCAATTAACACCAAGCAGAAGCCACGGTCAGGGTTCTTCCCATCCACCCAAAGCAAATCCCACCCTTTTCTACTTTTACTGTCACCCGGTTCTCACCACCGAGTCGTTCTTTGATTGACTCAGCGACTCTCTGACTCAGTGGTTTCAACCTGAAACCAGCCATGTCCATGCGCGCGCGCCACTTTCCAAACACTTCGCACCTTTCCACGCGCTCCCTTCCTTCGCATGCCACTGTGTTCGCTATCTTCCGCCTCAGTCCCTCCTCCATTTTTATTCGCCACGAGTTTTCCCGTGTCATCGTAGTCTCAAGCGAGTCAAACAGCGCGCCGTAATACGCGCACGACTCGGCCACGCGAGCCACGAAGGGCGCTGTATTGGTGTTTGATTCCTGCTCCACCAGCGTCACCACTCGCGGCGCGAGTGCCTTCACGCGCCGCAAAAGTTCGTCGCGCGGGTTCTCCGTGGAGACACTCTCGTCGGGCATTTTGTAAAGTCTGAATGCGAAGTTCACCGCCAGCGCCTCATCCGCTTCGCAACCCAAAGACTCGCGAGTTAACTCGGCGATTCTCTGAGTCAGCACTTTGAATTCGAAACCAATCCCGAGTTGCTCTGCGAGTCTTCCGAGCATCACGCCCGCAGAACTCATCCTCTCGTCAGCGCTGTTCTCCGTAACGGCGATGATCTTGACGACGGCCGGATAGCCCTTTCGCCGCAAAGAGAGCTCGTGGAGAAGGCTGGCGTATTGTTTCCCGTTCCCGATGTCGAAATCCACCACGCATAGTTTGGGGTTCTGTGTTTTATCGTCGAATGCAGATTCGAGGATTGCGATGTTGGCTACCATGAGCGCGACCCTAAAGAAGAGCGAGTGTTCAAATAGCAACTGAGTGGACTCGGCGTGTTCCCTGCCGAACAATTCCTCAACAGGTGGTGGATACTCAGCGTGACTCATTCGCGACTTGAGCGCGGAAACCATGCAATTTACGAAGGGTCGATCCGAATTCTGCGAGAATCGGGTAAGGATCTGCGTGGCGACCTCGAATCTCTCTTCTGAAATCGCTTTCGCGACCTCCGTCAGGGACTGTATGACATTGATGGATTCTACGGAGGAGTTGGACGACGTGGTAGTGGTAGAGGAAGATGGTGATGACGAGGCACGTTTGGGCGGAGTGATTAAGTTCTGTATTGTGTGTGACCATTCAGAGGTGGTAACGACTGAAACGGCGTCGCTTTGGTCATCATCATTGTCTTCTAGAAGTTCTTTTTCCAACTCCTGGAGTCGGTGGTCTATGAAGTTCTTCTCTGATTCAAGGGTCGCGGTTAGCCTGTTTTGAACTGGAGAGAAATTTGTGTGAGACAGGATCGAACTCGTGACAGGTTGTGGGTTAAGAGCGTTAGGGCGAATGTGATGGAGAAGAGAGGCGCCGTAACGGTGTGACGGTAAGGCAGCTAATTCAGGAGAGAACGTGGGGAATTGGTTGTGTTGAAAAGTTCTGGGCTTTACGGAACGAAATTGATAGTTGGTAAGGAGTTGGTTATTGTTGTTGCTAACAAGAAGGTTGTTGCTGATGGTGTTAGTGAGGTTGTGGGTCTGGAATTCTGCGAGGGTGCGTTTCCCGATGAGAGAGGATGTTTGGTGTTTGGGTATGTTGGAGGAGGGATGAAGCATAATTGAAGGTTGGGATCGGTAGAGAGGGTGGTGAGTTGTGGCGGAGTGGTTGTCGATGGTGGGTGTAACTGCCATGGATTGAGTAGGGAATCCGGTTGCTCCGCCGTAGAAATCGGAGGGTCCAGCAGCAGGGAACCCCGGCGGCGACATCCCAGGTTTTGTGGCGAAGAAATTAAGGAAGGGATTAAAAAGTTAGGATTTTGGAGGAAGGCATGGGAGAGAGATGAAGTTGAATTGAAATGTTTGAATGATTCTGGTGAATATAACGACAGAGGGGTTTTAAATTTGATCAAGAAAGCGAGTGAAGGCTTTTTTTTTTTTTTTTTTTTTTTTCTTCTCATTTTAGATTGCATCCTGACCTCACTACCGTTGGATTCGTTTAGATTCTAAATTCCATCTCTTCGACGGACCGTGATCAATTCCATAGGAAGCTAGAGGCAGTCGTATCTTATTCAATTATAACAAACTTCAACTCCTGAGTGACAACTTCCTCGACTAACGCAATTCCAATCCTCACGCGCCCTTCCATTACTATTACAACTTCTCATCATTTTATCACTATCAATTTCATCAAATTATTCTCTTGTGCTCTTAACTTTTTCACCTATTAAAAATTTTATTTTATACTTTCTAAGGCTTTAAATGTATTAATTAAATTTTTAAATAGTATTTAATTTTTTTTTCATTTTAAGATATCGCTCTTTTTATATAGTTATTTTCTTAATTATAGTTAACCAATAATGTTTAGAGTTCCCAAAGAATCTTCACTTTTCATAATGAATTAGTGGCTTAATTTTTTATCATGCATTTGGTTTGTGAACTTTGGTGGCTAACATGTGTTTCAATGTGTTTTATGAAAATATATTTGAGTTTATTATAAATTTATTTTTGATTATTTTATTAATCCTGTCATTTTTATTTTTGATGTTGCAATCCCTGCTCTTGAAAAGTGAAACTTAATACTTTTTACATAACTAAGAAATTCATATTAAATTTCTATAACAATACATATTGAACTAGGTTCAAAAAGATGATTTTTTCCATGAAAAGTAAAGTAAATGTTAAAAATAAATAGTAAGATTTTGAAGAAAGTTGGTACAGAGCATTAACATCTATGATATAAAGAATTAAAAAGTAATCAAATATTTATTAAACTAAACAAGTAATTATTAATTTTGGGCTATGATTGGGGAAAAATTATTATTGATTAAATTTGATTGACTGATGGCTTTATTTAATTTTATAATTTTGATTTTTTTTAAACAATAGTTTTTTTGCGCAAAAATTTCACCACAGCTAGTGTGATTTTTCTTACATTGAGTTTTTTGTGATATTTTTTAACACTACACAACTTGTTACTTTAAAACAATTCAATTTCATTTAAAACTTTTTAAATTTTAAATATCCATAACAAATATTTTTATGAGCTAAACAAATTATTTAAATTATGTATTTTTATAACTAGTATTTTAGTTTATGCAGAACACATAATAATTGTTATTTTTATATTTAATAGTTACGACAAAAATAAAATTTTACCTCATACAGAAAAAATATAAATATTAAAATAATAATTGACATTTAAAATATAAAAAAACAAAAAAATAGTATTTTTTAAATATTCATTTCAAATAATACTATAAGGTACTAATTCATTTACTAGACAATACTGAAGACTGTAACAGCTTTTTAATTAGTTTTAATTTTTGAGTTGATTTTCTTTTTGGCGTTATAAGTAATTTGAAATTGTATTTTTGAAAAAAATGTTAGTTATTATTATACTTTTATTTCTTTTACTAATATTTCATTTAGTAATATTAAGCTATTAAATAAAATATTATAAAACTAATAAAGCAAAATATAATTAAAAATATATAATATTAATATATTATCTAAAATAATAAACATAATATAATATATATACCAAATTATTGATGATACGAGTTTTAAAAAAAAAACAAATTTTTATATATAATAATTACTAGAGTTTACAACTACTTTGTTTATATATATAATTTTTACATACATCGTATGACAGTGAACAATATCATGCTAACACCATTGCCAATTTAAATATGTAATATTTTTTTGGAGTGTATCACTTGAGGAGTGTGATCTCACTATGTGTCTTCTCATGTTGGTTGAGTAGTAACAACTATAAAGAAGAGAACATGTTTAAAACGATCAAATATGCATGATTATGCACTGACACATATTAAATTTGACAATTAAAAAACACTGCTTCAACTCATAGTAAGTGTACTCCAATACAACTATAATCTTCAAATAATTCTAACATATAGGAAGCTCAACTTCAACAACTTACTTAAATATAACTAAAATGTTTGAAACTTTACTTTGTTGTTAAGTAATGTTTTTATTTTATTGAAAAATATTATCTTTGATCTTAAACTATCTACAATTAATATGATTGAAAATAATTCATAAAAACGTACCTTTTTAATCTTATAAAATTAAAAAATTCAATGAATTTAACATTACTCCTTAACCAATTTGAAATTAAACAAAACATTTTTATATTTAAGGGTTTTTTTTTCAGTTTTCAACTAAGTAACAAGCTAATTGTGTGAAACATGTAAAACAAAATCTCCATATTATAAAGTACTAGAAATTAAATGAATTGAGATGTGATGCTGGTTTAAGTTACATCCACATCTAGAATTTGATAAGATTGTTGTGCAAGATTAAAAGGGTAAAAAGAAAGCTAATTTTTTATTATGTTATTTACTTTGCTGTTCATCAATAGAGTCTTTCAAGCTTAAACATGAGCACAAAGTCTAATAAACTAAATATATTAATTTATTAATTTGAAAATAATGTCTGAACATATATAATCTGTGATACTTGAACGAACGCGTGGGCAAAGTGTATTAAATAAAACATATTAATTCATTAATTTGAAAATAATGTCTGAACACATATATAATCCGTTATACTTGAACGTGTGGGTAGAGTGTATTAAATAAAACATAGTGATGTAAACAGAGTATATACACTAAATAACCTTTCTTAACTTTGACATAAAGTCTACTAAAAATCCTTTGTTTACAAATAACCCTTAAAACTATTGAATCTAAAAAGTCTAACATCTCAATATGATGTTTTTCTATGTTCATAATACCTAAAATGTTGGGAATAC